TGCTGGAATATGAGACTTTTCACTGATGAACGCCACCTGATATTCGTCGACTCATCGCTCTTTTGCTTTGCTTGTTATCAGAGCTTAGTCGCGGGGTGTTTTGAGACGCCTACCCGACGATCGTTGACCTCGTGATCATTGATAGTCATCATTTTCGTTCCTTTTCTCTACGTCCATAACATTCACAATTCTGTTTCCGTCGCTAGTTCGATTTCCGTCGCTATTCTTATTTTCGTCATGTAATATTGCATTATTATTCGAGATGTTATTTTGCAGAATGGTGCAGAAACTCGAGAACGAGCCGACGTCCGACGACCAGCCGAAGAATCCACCTTCTCCAAAAAGTCGCCTAGCTGTTCTAAAACGAAACAAGAAACGTAAGTGTTTCCAGGATCCGTATAATATGGTTTTCTTATTCTGACGCCTTAATTTATTCCCAATGTGTGTTAATGTATCATTAGGATTCAGAGGAGATGTTCCAAAAATTGCATCTCTTGAAAGTTTAATTGAATTCCCCACTGTTTTGAATTAGGGGTCGGTTTCCGAAAACGCATGTGCGGGCAAACAAGAATAGTGAGCGAGATCATTTAAAATAAGGCTTTCTGAAATAACGGGATGGTAGCGGTGCCGGTAATTTGGGTGGGTAATCGATTGGTGATAGGAAAGTTTGCTGCGTTCTGTTGGACCAGTTCTCGAATCATCCAGCAGGAATAATATGTTTATGGAGGAGCTTAATTATCTTGGAGACTTATTGAAGTGGGGGCACTATATTTGCATGAACTCATTCGTAGACTGTTTCCGATTTTTTTTTAGCTTTCTTCACCTAATACTACTCAGATGCTCTAACATCTACCTTCAATTTGGTTTCCGAAAGTTAAAAGCTTAAGAAGCGTATGTGTAAGATAGCTTCTTGCTTCTTGAGATTTCCATCAAACCAACCGACCCGCACAGAAGGTAATCTACACCATGAATAGATCATGGGAAATGGAAGCTGCTTCAATTAAAGCTAGTTCCACTGACGTTGAAGAAAGTCTACCGAACCGGTTCTATCAAGCATTGATCCTTTCCATGCTCTAGGATGTGATTAATTTTCATTCTTTATTCCTGATTGAGTATGACTCGGACGTATTTTTAGTTTCTTTTTTTTTTGAAACATGAAGCATTTTTGACTTTTTCCTTAACATTATTCTTAGAAATGTAAAATATGCTAATGGGAATGCTGTTCTGTCGCGTACATTCGGAGGAAGTTGCAGCTGTTTCGTAAAGCTGTCGTAATAGCCGTGCTGAAAAGGGTGTAAAATGATAGGTACTTTTGAGGGTGGAATATTTGCGAAGCTCCCATTAATACCCTTTGTGAGGTTTTAGCTTGCATGCTTTTGAATCACATTGGATGATTTCTAGTGCTAATTTCACATATAGCCGAAAAGGTATGTGAATGCTGCTTTTTAGCAGTTTAGTAGCAAATTTGTGCAGCAAAAGCAAGTCACAACAGAGGTGAAAATGGCCACTGTCCAGAACCACCATTCTGGCATGTGATTCTGCGGAAGTAAATGTTATATGTATGTTTATAAACCGCTGTTTATTTGACTGTTGTGTGCGGTGTAATCTGATCCTGTTTTCGTTTCACTAAACTCTCGGAAACATACTTATAATTTCTATTGGATTATACGTGTCAATCCGTTATTACTGATAAAAAATAGCGGGACGTGGATGTTCCCATGATACACGTCTGGTTCTCATTCAACACTTGATACACTTCTCTATGAGACTGTTTTCAGCTAATGCAGCGTCGGATCCGTTCCGGTTTCAGGGCAATGGCGTCACGTACAAGGTTCGCCTCAAAACGAGTTTCTGTCGGTGTATGATTATCGATTTGAATTTCGCATTTTTTTTTCTCAGGGAAAATTGATTGGCGAACGAGATGTGGACAGTGCGCGCGGGGATGCGATGTGCGCGGATGCAATGCGAGCGGCAAAGGCGGCTGTGAAGGCTGCTGGTGCTCATAAAACACGAATAATCCTCCAAATAAACATCGATGGTATCAAAATTGTCGACGAGAAGAGTAATGTGAGCATTCATCTGCTTTACTTATTTCAAATATCGGGTTTCATCAACGATCTATCTGTTTATCCTTTATTCGTCTGGTACAGAAGATGATTTTAAGCACGTGTCTGAAACATGTGGGCCTTCTCCGTTTCAAATCGTCCACGACCCGACAAATGTTTTTCCCCATCGATCCGCTTCATGGTACTCTTTAGCTCTACCCTAGAAAAGAAGTCTCAACTGAACAAGTCTTAGGAATGGTGACTTATTCCCCAGTTCCTGCGGAATGCGCTTTCTCTTCGAAACAACCAGACACAGAGATATGTCTGCTTCCTGCTAGTGAGGCAAAAAACAAGGGCAGAGGCAAAGCTTTAAGTCTATCCAGCGATGCATGTGGACCTATCCACTGTCAGCCAAGATGGGACGGTATAATCACTTCTTAGGAGGGTAGGAAGAATTCGAAAATTGAAAGAAAGGTAACGCAAACAAATGATGGTTGTTTTCCCATCATGATTCTCAACGGTTTCCATTACAGGCTGTGCTGCATAACTTCCCGGTGTCAAGGGTGTCATTTATTGCTCGCGACACAACCGACGCTAGAGCTTTTGGAATTGTTTTTGGACAACCTGACAGTAAGTCAGCATCCTTTTTTCTGTTGTCAGATCGCTTAAATGCGAGTTAGTGAAATTTGAGTAATTTCGTCGGTCATATTGTGGAAATTCAGATAAGTACAAGTTCTACGGAATCAAGACAGCGCAAACAGCTGACCAAGCAGTTCTTGCAATCCGTGATATGTTCCAGGTATAGTGTTGAAATTACAAGAAATTTTTTTGCAATCCGTTGTATTACAATAGCCCAATACAAACATTCTGTTCAGGTTGTATTTGAAATGAAGAAAAAACACATCGAACAAGTCAAGCAGAAGCAAGAGGAGAATAAGGTTTGTAAACGAAACATTTTGTCAACTTTTATCGAAATGCAAAGACTTGCCCTTAGTCAAAATTATTTCGTCCGTGGCTCTTATTCATTCGCTTAGTTATTGAAAGACGGGCTTCTTCCCTTTTCTTTGAGTGCACGATCTTTTTTTAAGACCTGTAAGTGGGGTGTGCGTGATTGTCTGGTTTCACTCAATCTTACAAGCCGTCTAAACAAATCATCGGCCACATATAACCATTTTATTGATGACCAGTTACTTCATTTCCCCTTTGCTCTTATTATGAAAAATGAACGATGTCAGAAGCCAAGAGGGAAAGTAAACGTAGTTTTTCGATGGAGCTTGCGGTTTTACTAGCTGTACTAGCAATGCTAGCTGCAGATTGTGATCAGATCGTTGAATCTTGATAACAGTTCATAAAGGATACTTACTGCGGTCAAAGCTCAGAAGAAACAAGATGTCTATGAGCATATGTTTCGGAGCAGTCGGACATTTTTGATGCTCTAGGTATACAGTTCGGAAGTCTGGTGGTCTTGCAGTAATCTAATTTTTGAATTTCCGGACAAACGTGCACAAGTCGATTGTAGCCCCGTTCCCATTTTTCTCATGAGTGTTCATCCTTCGGAAGCCATAAACCGCTTCGTTTACGATTGCATAGATGAGAACAGCAAACCGGTTTTTAGTCGTGCTCACTTCGATCGACCGCAGATAGAATAAAGCAGCCCATCAGTTTCTGGGGGCGTTTTCTAGAAAAGGAGAAGTGTTAGATATACATTTTGCAAGAAACACCAGAAGCAAAGCTTATATTGTAAATATTAACGAAATTTTCAACGGTACACGAATGTCTAGTGATCATACCGAAAATAAGTTCGATTGAATGGTTTATTTTACGGCTTACTCTTTTTTCCGATGGACTAGTCACGAATGATTGGTATTCAAACAACTGGTTTCGCGAAGGGATCTAGCATTGTATTCTAGTTGAATACAATCGCTAGAAAGATGTGTTCTTTTAATCATAACTTTGAGGGCCATTTTATATTCAAGTATTTCTATTTAATACGGGCAGTATCATCCGGATGACGCGTTTAAAAAGATGTCAGGGAGCGTTTTGGGAAGAGATCTCTGATAGAGTTGTTCAGCTGCGTGACCGCTGTGTTTGTACTGCTTTCAGTTAGTTGCTTCGATGACGAAGTTTTTTGTTTGTCCTCCTACAAATTTCGGCGTCACTCAGCCGAGATCAAGTGGTGGTAGCTGAACCTTACAGTTTTTGCTACGCCCTAGGTCAGATAGCGATCAGGAGGAAATGACAGTCTCAAGCAAAACAACCCAACAATTTTTGCGAAGTTGCTTATATGATTACTGAAGTGATTATAAGCCTAGAAGAAGAACAGAGGCCGCATGTATAAGAAGGGAGAGTCACCGATCAAAAACAAAGCATCTTCATGAATTGGTACACTGTACCAAAAATTATTTGTAATTAATTGGCTATATATCTGGCTGGTTAGTAGAAATTATAGCGTTTTTGCTTGGAACAGCTTTTTCTCCAGGTTTTCTCCTCGATCATATCTTTGTCGTGATCATTTTGAGATATTTACTTGACTAATACTAATTAATCATGTTTGTTAGCGCAGTGATAGTAATAATGTTGTCTTTGAAAGGTTTAGAGTGTCCACGATGATTCACTTGGCCTATTTAAAACGTTGGACTGTATGTAAACAACATTTAATTGAGTTGGAAGCGCACTGACTCATAGCTGACCTCTTTAGCCGCTTTGGAACGAGCGCATTCACATGCGCCGTTTACCCGAAATAGGCGCTGCTATTAATATGTTAATAGGCATTGATTTTAGAGATTTGTTGTTAGGTGTTTCAGTAAGGAGAAGCACCGCTGGCTTAGAACGCCTCCATTCTTTTCGTTAAAAAGTCAATTGAGAGTCTTGTGAGTTTCTGCCTTGGCTATCAAGCCTAATCTTGGGTATATTCGATTGGTGTCATTACCGTTGCGTTCAAATAAGGCATATTTATGGACAATGAGGACCATGGACATGTACCCCTTCCCACGTTCTTCTTTAAACTTTGCCTATTTGCGGGCATAAAATAGCATAGCTAACTTATGTATGATCTCAGGAGACAACACCAGAAGATGGCGTAGCCGTAGCAGACCTGTTAGATTTGGAGACGGAAGTGCAGCAAATCGAGCAAGGTTTACATCAACTGGAACAGATACCGACGAATACGGATGCATTCGGCGCGACTCCGTTCGCCGACCCGTTCCAAGACAACAGTTTCGCTAGCAGTGTAAGTTCATACTTGACACTATGAAAACTACTGTGAGGTAGTTCTTTTTTCCCAAAACAGAGTAATAAAATTATCAAGTTTGGTTTGATGAAAACTCAATTAGAATACAGTGTTTCTGAAGGAGTAGGTGATTTGGAAAGTATTCGCCACATTCAGAGTCCCAATTTGATTCTCTTTTTTGGATTATCACGGTTTCGTAAACTTCACTGTGATGTACTTTGGTTTAATCCCTTCACCCTCTAGTTTTGAACCCAGAATCATTGATTCATATTTTTTACAAGCAGTACCCGCTCACGTTGAGTTCATATATTTCAGGTTTCAATGAATGGATCATATGCAGCTGCAGCCTTGAACGGAGCGGCTCATAATCCCCATCAGTTCCAAACACCGTTTAATCCTCAACCTCAAGCTGCTGCATGGCCTCAGGCACCGGTAGTGCCGCCAATGGTTGCACATCCACCTTTCCAGGTAAGCCGTCAACACATTCCTTTTTAGACCGAATTGCAAGTTTCATTTTTGTTCATATTTTAGCTGCCAGTGCCGCAGCAGGCCGCTGCACCGTTTACGGCAGATGCTTGGGGTGCACCTCAATTACAACACACGCATAGTACTCCATCATTTGCTCCTGCTGGAGGATTTTCTGTGAGTTTCTGAAGCTTCTAAGGTTTCCGACCCCCTAAGTTGCTTTTGCTATGGAGAAGATACTTTGTAATAATACTTTCGTAGTAATGTAATACTTTTTAGTAAACTTTGTATTCTTCAGGAAACGAATCCATTCGCCGGTGCTGTCACTGCTCCACAACAGTTTGTACCCCCTCGCGATCCTTTCGACACTCGTAACATCATGCAACTACAACCAACTTTGCATAATGTTGCTGCTACTCGAAACGTAGACTGGGGAACAAAGGAAAATGCTGCTCCGCCGTTGCATCATGCCAATTCTTTCACTACTAATAACTGCTTTGGAGACAACAAGTAAGAAGCTTATTTCATCTTTATCTTTGAAATCATTCCTGAATTTCACTGACAAGTTGGAATTTTCCTCGATTCCAGTGCACAAAACCAGAATAAATGGGAAGATCGTAAGGTGACATCATTGGAGGACGCTTTCACAAAACTTGTAGACATGAACGCTCTAGTTTCTCGGCCGGCTAATGATACAAAGAAGAATCCGTTTGAACACATTCTGAATCCGCCTAAGGTTCGTTTTTGTGTCTCTCTGTTCCAAGTTGCTGCAAATTTAAAAAAGTGTCATGTAATCATTTCATTTTTTCTCAGTTTGGTGTTCTCGAATGCCTTTTTTGAGTTTAACATGGGTTATGAATTGGCTGGTGTGGCTTCGATTACATCGAGTTCCTTTGCTATATCAGGCACAACAGCGATGAATAATTTTTTCAGGCTTCACTGAACGCCCTTGGCGCAGTTCCGATGCGTCCTGCTCCAGTTGTTATGGCTAACCATGCAGATCCATTTGGTGACGACTTTTTCCGTTAAATAGAAATCCATATGTTCACCAAGCTGCTCTGCTTTTGTAACGTCAAGGCATTTTTCTTCGATTATGGAGCTCGTCTCCTCTCTGTACCACCTCCCCGCCCGCTCCGGTGCTGCACCTTTCATTTTGCCGATTGCTGTTTGTTAAAATCCTTCCGATATGCTCTTTCACATTTTTTGTCCTCATATCAGCATTCTTACGGTACGCTACCAACGTCGTACGGTATATTCACATTTTACTTGCGGCAAGAGAAATATTCTTCTCTACTCGCATCCTGCATTTGTGGGGCCACAATGCTTGTTTATAGACTTTCACATTGATATTAGATTGTGATCAATAACTTTGTCATCGAACAATTCTATTCTGTGCTACTGGAATTTTCTAAAGCAGTTTCTGCTCTATTTCTTAACTAAGGATTATCGCTGATCACTAGTTCTGTGCATAATGTGATCTGCCTCGGACGTCGAGCTCCTGTGATACCATAGTCTAATGAATTTCTAAATGGTACGTATTGCCGTATTTCTTTTAACTATTTGCTTTTCATCAATTTTTTCCACGTCGAAATTTGGGTAAAGTTCACACGAGAGAAATCAACGCCTATAATTGTGGCCCCCTGTAGTGCGATTTTCTCTGAAAAACTTTTCTAGATTCAATTTTCTGAATCGCTCATTGCTACACGGACTTTTCCCAATTAGTCGTATTTCAGATCTTGCTAACTAGATATGTGGTGTATGTGTGAGTGTGTATGAGCGTTTAAATCGCTATTTTTCAGCGAATTCGTTTTTTCTGTATCTTCGCCAAATTGTTCATATTTGTACATGAAGGTTTTATCTGTTTTCATATTGCCATGTCGTTTTTGCGGATCATTTGTTAACAGGATGTGAAAAGGTGATTCAGCAGGTTGAAGATCCAAAAACGAAAAAACGAATGAGGTCAGCGTTGACAAGGGGTGCGTATTCAACAATACCCTCTGTTCGACTTATCGACCTTGCAATCGACTACGAAATACAGGAAGTGTTGTACCTGCCAGCGCAAACACTTCCAGGCAAGTCTATTAATTATTGTATCCCTGGGCTGAATAGGTCTGGACGAGAGAGGGTTCGGGAATAGGTCCTGGAAATACCTTTACTGCCGACATCATCATCGACCGCCTTATTGTCTGGAACATCTAGTCTGAACTGGCATTTCAAGGCTAACAACGAGGGCTTCCCCTTGATTGGGGATGATCTTTCTATTAGAACGACATTCCAGCTGTGCAGCTATCTTTATAGCTATTCTGAGAGAAAAACCGCGATTAGCTGATCGAAGAACCGAAATATTGGAAATGACGCTTCTGTAGGAACGGCAGCCTCCAACTAAGTGTATGCTATTGGCGAAATCGGTGCTATCATAAGGTATTATGTGTTAACAACAAATGGGATTTGTCAACAAAAGCCCATGTCTTCATACTAGTTCAGTGTCTAGGCTGAAATCAGCAGTAATAAGGGTTGATGACCTCATTACGAGGCACATCGACTGTTTCTTTGGGATTTTTCTTCAGTGATGAGGTTAAGCGCATTTACAACCTCAATTTTGAGTGTTAGCGCTGGGAGAAGGTAGTGTATTGCCAAATGATGCACTGTCTAACACTCATGGTCACAGGTTTGAATCCCGGATCGGTATCCATCTGAACCAACCGAGCTATCCATCCCTTCGGGATCGATTGATGGTACCTATTTCGTCTGGTAGGATAAAAGCACTGTAAATCGGTTGGCTACCCAAATCATTGTTCAGGCCACACAGGCATTCATTATACCACTACGATTCCGAATAGAAGTCTCTTCGGACGGGTTCGATTGACGCTAAAATCTTATCCTTTACTTTATTCTTTATTTTAACGTTACAGCATAACCGTAGATAATCGTGGATATGCCTCGGATATCCTTGTACAATGTAACAGTTGCGAAAACTCGGAAAACAAGCCACAATAACTGGTACGGGGTTGGCACGATTTTTTGCAGTAAAACTTTCCTCAGAGTGTCGCATTTCTTTTGTTCGCATCTGGCTTAATCGCTTCTACCTATGGTACTCTGACAAAGATCTAAACATAAGTATTTACCAAAGGTTCGGTAACGATGGGAATATGAGCGATAAAATACACGTATTTATTCATATTTTTTTGCACATTGAGAACAATCAATAAATTGAGAAAGGTGACACAATTTACAAAAAATCGAATTCTCGAACCCGTTCATAAATTTTCTTGAATTTAATTTTTCTTCCTTCAACTTCTTTGGAGACCGATTGTATCATTTTTGCCCCTTTCCGTACAAATGATCGCGTCCACTGCAAAGATCATTTTTTGAAAAAGAAAATTCAAAAAAAAAAAACCCATTCATCCATCCATTGTCCAATTCATTGTAGAAGAAAACATTCAAATGCATGGGGTACTGTCGACCCACTCTTTCCCACACATCAGTACTTTCAGAATTTTTTTCTAGGAAAATCGACCCATGTGGAACTTTGCGGCGAAGCCAAACACTGCCTTCATAGTCCGCGAACTGGGACCGCGAGCGCGCGAGCAAGCGACCGGGAAACGACTTATCCGACGGTATCGACCAAGATTCAGTTGTAAACAAGGGGCAAGCGCTGGTCCCGGTCACTCGCTCGCTCGCGCTCTCGCGAGCCCAATCGTGGACTAGTGGACTATGAAAGGAGCCAAATTTGACGTTGATCTTCTAGAACCCAAGGTGGAGGAATACGCTCGCTCGTGCGCTTGCGGGCCAAATCGTGAACTATGACAGCAGCCAAATTTGTCGTTGATCTTCTAGTATTGAAGGCGGACCAATTCGGTAGCAGGAGCAGTATTTAAAGTCATAATCGAACAATTTGAATGCTACACTCACACCCTAGAAAAATTAAGACTGCTACCGAAAAACTTGGAACTGATTTCTTCCCAAAAAGTAGAATGTCTGTATCTCACAAATAAATATCAATGGGAAAACTGAACAAACCCTTTTCAATGAGATCTGATCCAGTCCTTCGAATATTTTCACTTCAATGGGCGCCAAATTGAGGATTGGTCCGCTAGTGTTCTCAGTGTAACTCAGTGGGCCTTCTTCGATCAGAATGAACCCTTCAGAAATAGAGAAAAATAGAGAAAAATTGGTCAAAAAGCTGATTTGTATAGAATGCTTACCTTGATTATTCACACTACTCAAAGCGACCCTTATCGTGTTGTCTTCAGGTGGAGGATATTGGCGGATTGTAAGAAATCCGTTGAGAAGATGGACGTCAGACGGGTCATCGCGACTTACTGCTCGGCTCCTTTAGATGGGTACATCATAACGGTACACAGCGTCAGGTTAAGAAAACAAAGAATATCTCTACTATGTTAGCTCTATTACAAATTTAATTGACAAAGATAAAATCAGTTAAATTTTGGGGTCGTATCTGAGGTCTGCTGCTACACGTTGTGTAGGTAAGTCGAGAAAAGTCATCCGATGACCTTTTTAACCTACCTTTTTTTTCGAGTGTGACTACTTCAAAACCTCTACACAAATAGCTGAGTGTGAAGGATTATTCCAAAGACTCACGTAACATTTATACTTGGAGTTCCGAACATCACCGGCTTTGCGACGGAAAACGTCAAAATCTCATCATATCCCACCGCACTGAAATCCGTTGGATAATCGAATGATCGATGATTGAAACCTGCAAAAGGAGCATTACGAGTATATCAGGGATCTGACTGTGACCAAAAATCCCACTGACTCTCTCGGGGAAGGTGGCAAATCGGGTTGGGAAAGGACAAAGAGACAACGAGTGGCTGAATTATTATAATTACGAACTGCGTTACGAACTGTCTTCATTTGGAAAAAGGTCAGACCGACCTCTTAGGGCAAGGGATTCAGAGGGAGTTTAATGAGTTTTCTGTGATATTAGATTGCATTGCATGAGAACTGAGCACCCTGAGGGCCTAACTAGTTATAAGGTTGTTCGGAAAGAAATGCGCGTTTGAGCTTAAGAAATTTGTTATAATAAAAACGAAACTAAACAAGATCAATTCAAAGGATAATCTCTATTACTATCAATGACTTGTTGCCAACGTTTAAGCAAATAATGGATTCCTCTTCTGAAGAACTCGGCAGGCTGCGATTCAAAGTAGTTGGACACCCAGAGTCGGACTTCTTCCCGGTTCTTGAGCTTTTTCTTGGCCAGGGTGAGGTGCATCGACCGGAACAGATGGTAATCGGATGGTGCCAGGTCTGGGCTGTAAGGCGGTTGAGAAAAGACTTCCCTGCCCCTAATCCTCAATTTTTTCCAAAGTGATTTTAGCGATCCGTACCCGCGACCTGACCCGCAACGCGACGGAGCGATACCCATTTTCCGCCTCTGTTCGTCTTGCCAATTGCCAGCACATGTTCATGGACGGTAGAGTTTGTGCAGCCAAAATGTGTTGCCAGTTCTCGTGTGGTTTAGCGTGGATCCAATTCAATGACGGACTTTAACACGCGGTTATCGACGACTTGAGACCGACTTCCATGTTCTTCGTCCTCTAACCTTTCATTACCGTTTTTGAAACGCTGGAACCATCTTCGACACTGGCTTTCTGACAGGGCTTCTTCGCCAAATCCATCAGTTGATGAGTTCAGCAGCCGATTTGCCTTGCTCGAAGTCGTAGCACATGCAAGTTCGCAAAAGGAATTTTTGGTCAAGCTTTTCCTGAACTTTTTTCTTCAATATGAAAAAACAAAGTGGAGATAAACAAAACTATATCAAAAGATGCGCAGTAAATCTCTTTCCAATAGACAAATCTGTTTCAAAAAATTATGTATAGTAGAAGAGAAATAAATGGACAAAGTCAAGTGCGTTTCTTTTTGAACAACCTGATATTTTCTTTCTTACACACATATCTGTCTATACCTTCAACTTTCGAATGCCACTCTCCCAATGTCCACGCCAAGGGTACCAGTATTGCTGGCAGTCGGTTGAGTGTCCGTACTGGAACGAAATAGCCAGTTTTCAATATGAAACAATGGATTTCCAGGTCGAGACGAGCCAAACAAACTTGTGTCATTCCGAGGTACGCACTTCTCGCACGATTCCGGGCAGTTCAACCAAAAAAATGCCGTTTCTTCAGGTGGAATCTGAAAAGCTGGGATGGCTTGACGAAGAAGTAAGACGGCCCAAATGATCATCTATTCAGCGTAGCCGAATGGAAATATCTCATCCTAGCCCTTACCTCACACTGTCCTTCACGCTTCCACATTTTACATGAGCCATATATGTCTTGGCATGGACCTAAAATACATAGCTGTTATCAAAACCCACGGGGTTGAAAGTAAGCACGGCTCAAAAAACGTTCGAGAACAGCTGGGACTCGGACATCGCTTCGGGCCTTACAGCGACATACCGTACCACCTCATCTGATGCTGCTTTTTCTAGCCAATTGTCTTGCCTCGCATCAAGCTCGACATTCTTGTCTTAAGCACTTGTCGTTTACTGTCGGTTACTTAACAGGAGTCCCAATGTAACGGGCCCATTTCTCGATTTAGCCGAAAGAAGTGGGGGAGGAGAATGGTTTCCAAAAAGCGAATGTGTTTTCTCAAAGATCACCTGCTGGGTTGTGTGGCGTGGTCGTTCTACCACTTGATCAGAATGAAGTTCGTAGAAAACTCACGATCACAATTCTTCCCATTCCAGCCATCCATGCATACACATTCATAATCATTGAATTTGTCGATGCACTTCAGAGAATTCAGGCATTTAGCTTGTCGACACTCATCAATTTCTGAAAATGTGAAAGCATTTATCATGGCTAAAAGCCCAACATCTGCTCTTTACAGCACTAGAATTGTTTTATTGGGTAGCAGCGGATGAAGCGCAGATGCTGAAATTAGAGTGTTTAGGTAATGGCCAAACTACTCATTGACTGTGGGTGCCGGACCAGGGAATTGAGTAAAATAGGTAGGAACGTTTAGAAGGGTTGTCATTGAAATAACATAGACAGAAGGATCTCAAGCTTTGAGTGCTTTTAAGAAGTAAACACCTCCACAGTTCTTCACGCTGTTGTTTTGGCCCAGCTTCCGGCCACTTGAGCTCTAGTCCAGACATTCTATTGTGAAGGCAAACATTGAAACAGCCGTTGAACAACAAAAGACTCCTCAAATTACTCAGCCTGTTTGCAAGTTAGCACGCAACTTAAATTTTTTCGAAATTGCTTTGCTTGAGTGAGAAAGATTCTCAAATATAGGGATAGCGAACAGATTTCTTAGCTATTTCTTTTCGGTAGCGAACAGATTTCTTGACTTTTCCACTCGGTATTGTAAAGGTGCTTAGATTTGTCTTTTGGTAGTACAATGAATTGGAGGAAACCAATTAGTGTTGCAGAACACATTTTGCCTAGAAATTCCGATTGGTGAGGCTGAAATCGACTCTACAGTGTGTTTCAAAAGTATGTGCACACCAAACACTTTGTTTTTTTGGGGATACCATTGCTTTGTATAACCTGTGACCTTCACCATTCGATTCCTTGTGTGCGATAACCTACTAACACTTTCTTTGAGAGAACATCGTAGCTGCTAACATAATTTTTTATTAAAG